TTTAATTCATTAATCAATACAGAAAAGACACGAATTTGTATCGTTCTTGTTTTTCATGCAATAGGTTTTATAAAATTGGAGTTCAAATATGTTCTAAACTAATAATTTTTTGCACGTAGGTCTATACTTTTTGTATTCTCTTATAAATCTAAGTTACGACCACCATATTACAATCCTTTCTGCAATGAACAACTTTTGTTAATAAAGTTTCTTCATATTTTCAAAAATAACAGACTGCTGATTCTTATTGGGCCATCCTTTGTAACGTAATAAAAGTGAATCTGAGAGGATGAAATGACTGAGAATAAAATGACGTAAGATTTTATCAATTATAATATAAATGCCGGTAAAAATTTTACGAATGTATAATTACATACACATCGTGTAAAATGTTTCCACGAACAATGAGCACCTCTCCGCTTCCACGGAGAACCAGAATAGGCCATTCAATTTGATTCCAATCGACAACGTTACCCTGAAAATAATCCCCGATGAAAGAACAACAGTTTCTAACAACATTTCGCATCGTAGTAGAATCATACCTTGTTAATGTCTTTGCCGATAAACGTCTCAGGTTTGCGTAGTGTAGGTGTAGCGAAATCAAAGTCCACCGCTGTGTCGCCTAAGGAGGTGAAGTCTGGTATCTTTGATGGCGAACTGAATGGTATACGACCGACTTTCCAGGATCTTATGAACTTCGGTCTGCTACCCACTTCGCATTCGTACAAACTGGGCAAACGTGAAATTTTACTCACTGTCAGTTTTTCCATGCGTATATATTTTCAACGTTTATACGTCTTAAACCAATTTGTTTGAAGCGAAGTTTCATGCTACATTAGCAGTTGACAATAGAAAAGAAGTTACGAGGCAGAAGGCTTAACATTCAAAGAAACTTAAGAAACTTAAGATCAACTTGTACTTTTGTATCGAGTTTAATGAAACTTTACTAGGGCTATTAGACGAGAATAATTCTTAATTACCGAAATGTATTTTCAGATGTCAGAACTAGCAAATGAGAGTCGTTTGTGGATCCTGGATGCCACCTTGCTTTCCGAACATCTACCGTTTCATTGTAGACTCTGCAATATTGCAAGGGATTATTACTATCATTATTACACACAAGTCGGGTAAATCGACTCGCTAGATTTGAATTTGGAAGTCAATATCGCGAGAAAGTCTAAAAGAGAGAGAGAGAGAGAAAAGAAAAAGAAAGAAGTCTTTTCCGTGAATTCAGAGAGAAGTTTTAAAAAAGTCAGACACGAAAAAGTTTCTTTTTCCACTAACTTTTTCCTCTTGTCTTTATACACTTTCGTCCGTCCATCTTTAGGCGTGTCCTCGTTAAAATTTAAATAAATGGGAGAAACGTTCTGTCCAATCCAGAAAAGTTTATGAATTTTCGGGGGCGTCTCCCACGTAATGTCGTGGACGCCCTGCACAGCCGTCTGTCAGGTATAAGTCAAGTATGACGTACGTATATTCCACGTGCATGTCAACAGTAATTAAAAGGTTCGTTAGTACACGTGTCCATTATTGTCCACTCGTGTTTAATTTCTCGTCCGACGACTAAGGTAACGATACAGTTAATAGTTGCTTCTATCGCAACAGGAAATGCCGAAATTCATGCCGAAAATTTGTACAACTGAAACATAATTTAAACCAATCGTTTAAATAAGATAATTTAAAATCTTCCGAAATTCTCAGTACTTTTCTCAACCACAAAATCTGTTTAATTGAAACACAGCCAATCTTGCAATGGTCTTGCAGAGGAAATTTGGCGCGGTCCGCCTATCTTTAACAGGTCGTTTATATAGACAAATCTAATATTTATTTATTACGTATAGAAAAGATATTTCCAGTAAGAATAATTACCGATGTCTTCCTCTGATATAAATAACTACAGAAGATGTCAATTGTTCGATGAACGATGTTACTTGTCTGACCACTGTTGTATCTATACCACTTATATAGGCAAATCTAATATTTATTTCACACATAGAAAAGATGCTTTCGGTAACAATGCTATAATCTCTATAATATACCGATGTTTGTTTTCGATATAAACCACAGAAGATGTCAATTGTACGACGAACGATGTAGTTTGTCTGACCACCGTTCTACCTATACCACTTGACCACTCGGTCTTTCTAGAGATTGGACGATTCTACTTGGAAGCAGCAACTTCAGCTACGTTTCGCGTCTAACACTTTTAAATCTTTCTCCGCCATTTCATAACCACAAATGCAATCGAGGTAGATCGAAGAGCATCTTCTTTGCAATTGCTTGGACAACTGATTGTGAGCGAGGTGAAAAAAAATCTGTAACTCTGGTGAGCCGAGGAAAGAGCTCTGGAGAGCAAGATGTATTGCGTCGCGAGATGACTGGCCTGGCCCTTTTGCTTAGTTATCCGGACGTGTCGTTATTTAACGCAAATTACCCTAATCTTTCACGATCGTCGTACGGCGTAGAGGCGGGCGTAACGAAAGGAATACAGCGGCGAAGCGTGTCGCGGTGTTTGTTTTTCGCGGGGGGTGGACGAGCCGGGGACGAGCGGCGACGATGGTCGCCTACATTTCGTATATTTTATTATTACTCTCGCACTTTCCGTGGCTGGACACGGTAACGCTGGCAAAAGGGGTTGACGGTGGTTAGCCGTGGCCGTTATTAATGTCCACGGCACAGCGTTGGCCAGAGGCAGGCAAGGAGCGTGGAGAGAGGGTGGGCAAGAAAAAGAGAGAATCACGCAGAAAAAGCGGGGGAAAGGGGTTTGACGCAAATGGAGAACGGGAGAGGAGAGGAGAGGAGAGGAGAGGAGCGGAGGAGGAGAGAGGAGAGAGGAGAGAAACGAGCAGGAGGAAAGAAAGGGACAGTGAAACAGGAGGAGAAGCAGGAGGAGGTGGGCTGGAAAAAGAAACAAAAAATCGATGGGCATAGGGTATCGTCGACTGGTTACACTGGATACACCAACGACAAGGACGAAAGCAACTTTACCATCACCGACGGCCTCCCCTCTCCCCTCTCGCCCCGGTTGCAAAAGCACGCCAGAGTTCTTAATAATTGATAAAAATGTACGTACGTACGCACGCACGCACGCACGCACGCATGCACGCACGGACGGACCGGTGAAAGAGAGAGAGAGGGAGGAGAACGGGAGGAAGGGTAGAAAGAGAGTCGGTCGAAAACCAGACGACGTGGTCAACCTCAGCGACTCGGTCTGCTCTCCCTACCCTTTCCGTTCGCGTCGCGTCGTTCTCTCTCAGTTTCTCCCTTTGAGTTGGTCGC